ATTTTAACAAGAGTTTAATAAAAAAAATTGAATAATATAAGCGATGAAATATATATAATTAAAAATTTATTAATTTTATATTATATATAGCATAATTAATATTAAATGTTTTTTATAATTAAATAATTAATTAAAAAGGTAATCATGATCCTATTAAAAGAAAATAAAATCACATTTGAATTAATTTCTATCTTTTTAAATATCATTTGATCTAATATCATATCATTAATATATAAAAAATAATATAATTATATATATATATATATATTATAATTTTTTATATTATAATATAATATATAAAAGATAATAAATAATTACAATCAATTGTAACAACAATAAAGAAAAAATAAAGACAACAAAGAAAAATAAATAATAAAGAAAATAAATAATAAATATATATATATAATAAAATAGAAATAAAACAAATTTATCTTGAAATTTGCAAAACAAATTGAAAATTATGCAACACAAAGAAAACAATTTTCAACAATTTTTAAATACCTATAATATAATATTTAAAAAAAAATTATATCACATAATAAACGATTTAAAGAAATTTCATTAAAAACAACAGATTTTTAACTATTTTGTACAATAAAAACACAGATCATTATTGTTATATAATAAAAATGCATATTTTATTAGAATCTACATTTTTAATTAATAAAATAATAAATCAATAAATTATGTATTTTATTGTGTGTTTTTATATATTTTATTATTTATTATTATTAAATAATAATTTTTTTTTATATTTTAATACAAATCAAGAAATATAAAAAAATTAAAAATAAAAAAATTACTCAGTAACTTAATAATTTTTAATTATTATGTGAAAAAAAATATATTTTTTTTAATTATCTTCTTCGATATTGATTTGAGACATATTTTCTTTTTAATTTCCTTAAAGTTGTTACAAATTTGTTTCTCTCTTTTTGCAAGATTATCAATTTATTAATGATATTATATAATTATAAACTATCAGGTATCAAAGAATTAACTTAATGAATTGACTTAATGATTTTTCTCAGCGATAAGCATATAAGCTACAATCTAGTGATCAAAGAAAATGACTCATCTAATAGAAATCGAATGCATTTAACCGATCAGTTCTCATAATAATACACTATATATAAAATTTGAAGAAAATTAAATTTACATCTTTTATCATAATTTAAAATGATAATATTGGATAAACAATTTTGTATTTTTATTTTTCATAAATATACATAATATAATTCAAAAATATAATATAAAAACATTTTTTTATTTTCAAGAATATATAATCTAATTTTATAAAATTTGAAATATATAAAAACTTGCTATTAGGTAGTATTTTAGTGGTAGTATTTTATTCGTTGTTTTTATTATTTAAAGAGTTTTTAACCTAATTTGATTTCTAAAATGCGATTTTGGATAAAAAATTTTTTAAGCTAATAAAAGGATTAAGTATCGATAAATTCTAAAATATTAATAATTTGTAATATATTGGAAATATATTTTTTAAAAAATAATTTAATATAATTAAAATAAATAATCCATTATTTTTTTTCTAATCATATTCTACTATTAGAAATAAGTATAATAAATATATGAAAAGATATAATATAAAATTAAAAAAATATATTAAAATTAAATAATAAATTATATGAAAATAATATATGAAAAAATATAAAATTCAATTAAAAAATATATATATATAAATGAATTACTTATACTATCACTGTATTATTCGTATGAAACAAACGAGAAAAAATAGAAAGATCCTTTCAAAAGAGAACATCCAATTATTCAAAAACAATTTAGATTAATTATATATTAATATAATATGAATATTAATTATAATATGATAAAATTTTGAAAATGGACACCTCGTTGATTTAGATTTAGTTTTTGCAAATAGATACAAAAACGAGTATGCAACAGATGATTTCAATAAAACGATTTTTTTTTTTTTTTTACTCTGAAATAATACTTTGAATAATTGAAAATAGAAAATCTATTAAAGATATAAATTTTAAAGATATAAATTTTTTAAATAATTTCCAATAATTAAAAAATAAAATAATCATCATTGATGATTAAATATTAATAAATAAAAATTAATGAAATTACAAATTATATATAATTATATTTTATTAAATTATATATAATATCCTGCAGTATAGCATCATTATTCTCACAAAACATTCTTTTAATCAATCTTAATCATCTTGTGCAATTTAATATGAAAAGAGAAAACATTAAAACAGTACTTGTTTGCGGTAAATGTTGCCAAGTGGAAAGAAAAATACTCTATTCCGATATCTTCGCCATCTATTTTTCTGAGAGCAAATAAAGAAATTGAAGAACCGCGAAACAAGGTTACAACAACAATAAAAGAAAAACGTTTGTTAAAACAAATAAAGAAAATTATAAATTTATGTACATAAATATATTATTACTATAAATCTAATTGTTCAATACTAATATAATGTAATTCTATAAATTAAAATTATATTTAAAATTCTTTGCTCGAAATCTATTATACCATTCACTTTTTAGAATGTTTTTAAAATTGTTAGAAGATTTTTAAAATATAAATTTTTCTATGAATGAAATATTTTTTACTTACTTTTTCTTTATAATATACAATATAAAATATTATAAATAAAAGAAATATATATTTATATTTATATTATTATAATAATTGAATTATCATTTAACCATTCAATAAAACGTTGAAATAATAATAACTTGCATTTGAATGAATAGAATAAATAAAAGATAAATATGGTTTATGAGATGAATTAATAAAAAAATAGATCGATGTGTTATTTAAAATATACGTACTATATGATTCAATTGACGCACTTCCTCTTTCTCAGATAGCAAAGGTGAAATGTAACATTTCACTAGGGAAATGACCGCGTGGTGCCGCATCGCAACTGTTTCCGCTCAATATCACAAGTGCAAAGATTTTTTGTTCTCGCGATGCAACCTACCGTAGAGTTGGCCTTTATCCAACCTCTTGTCGTTTGTTTTGATGGTGATTTTTGCCATTATATAAAAAGAAAAGTCGGCCATCAACCTAAACGTTTCCTATCGATTTAGTTTTTCGAGTATTCGAATAATTAATCAACAAAAAATCTCATGGATTAATTTTCATTATATCATAGACATAAGACTTAATTTAGTTAGTTCAATTTTCTATTATTATAAATGTTATTATTTTATTTTCTTTTATCTTTCTTGAAAAATATAATTATAAATTAATTTATAATATAATATAATATAATATAATTATAAATAAATATTCATAAGTAAATATATATTGTGTAATTTCAATATTCATTTTTAGACATTACATGTATGTCATATTCTGTTTATAATCTGAATTTAAATTTAATTATAATATTTTCGAGTTTAAAATGATGTACTTGTCGCTAATACGTGCATATTAATTTCTTATATTCGATCACAATTTACATATTCTATAGATGGCATATTATCATTTACATGAATTATAATCTGACAAAAAATTTTTAACATATTCACGTCTAGTAAAAATAAAAAACCATCAAATATCGTGTTTTACATCAACAATACAAATGATGAAAAATATAGATAAAATAATCAAAACATTACAACAATAACTTATCGCTGTTTCAGAGACATTTAAACAACTTTAATCTTAAGTTATTCTATTCGAGATTAAAATTATGATGATTTCAATACATTGAAATTTCTCATAAAAATTTTAATATTATATAGTTGTACCATAATGAATCATCCTATAAAATATTTCCAAGTTTTAAAATAGGATAAAATTATTTGACATTATTTGATATATTTAACGTTTGCATTATATATTCAAATTCAATTATTTATTTCAAACTTCGTCATATATATTTTTCGATGCTATATAATCTATAGCAGACGACTTTTGAGACACGTAAATTCCCGGGTAGTCTGCTAGAATTTCAAAAACAGCGCGCGAAACGTCGCATGCACCGAGTCGTATGTTTTTCTTATGAGCGGCAAAACTAAATTAAAAAATGTTTTCACTCACCATTTGATGCCGATGATGATACAAAGTGTCCCAGCGATATTCTTGAAGTTGGAGGGTTTCGTATTGTTGCTTTTTTTTCAAGTGTGATTGAGAACGCCTTACGACCGATATCACCACAGATGGGCCCATCCGGCCATCTTGCCGTATACCAAAACGTGTACTACACTGCGCTGGCGTATTTTGCCACTTGTCTCTCCCTCTTGCCCCTCAAAAGTAATTGCGTAACTGCCCGCGATACTTTCAGTCATTCCATCTTTATCTAGTTATCAATGCGTCCTCTTCCTCTATCTTTATCTCTTCCACAGGTGGCGCTACAAACGCTCGGCAAATTTTAAACGACGCGTCGCGATCGATGATCAAATTTAAACTAAATCCACATATTGTACAAATCGGATACTTGAGTTTGTATACGATCGGAAAAATTGAAAAGTGTTTTCTTTCGTTAAAACAAATGAGTTTAATTCATTTTTATCGTACGCTATTGCTTTTTTTGAAAATGTAGGAAACAAATTACATTCATATTTACTATTAATATTAAGTGTGTACTGATATTTTATATATATTAATTACACGTTTCACTACTTGAATACTTTCACTAATTGAATACTGTTTGTTATTTTACACTGTTTTTATTAAATGAAAATTATGAATTTCGATCAATGACATTTGAAATTTAAATATAAGAATTATCCAGTTGTGGCGCTAGCATACGGTGTAACCTATCTGTACCTGAGAAAATATTTGAAAATTAAAAATACGCAGGATTGATAAAATTATGACGCATTATTTGTATAATAGTAAGTAAATTATAAATAAATAGTAAGTAATTATTTAATTTCTCAATAATTTACAAAATTTTTTAAGCAAATGTTAAAAAATTAATGTTAAAAAAATTTTTTTTAAATTATAAAAAAATAATGTAATTAATATTCGAAAAAAATTATAAGGATTTAAAGGCTGTATAAAATATTTTATTTAATACTGACATTGCTGTCAAAAAGGCAATTCAATATTATGATATTTACATGAATATACTTAGCGTATATATACATATAATAAATATTTACAATTTTTATATCAAGTTAAAAATTAAATAAATAAATTAACTACTACCAAACCAATCTGAACCCATTGCCCCAAAAAATGCCGCTGCTCCAGATTTGATTGTAGCTCCTGCTGAATCACTTTTTGTAGTTTCCTTGCTAGTAGTTTTTTTGCGCTAAATTAACATAAAAAATTAAATAAAAATTTTACATTACATAAAATTTAAATCTTCTTTTAAGTATTAATTTCAACAAAAAAGTATAATTTAACACATCTGAAACATATGCTTCGTTAATTTGTTAATTTAAGCATAAGAACTTTAACAAGACGTAAAGATGTAAGATCGTTTTCTTACCACAATCAAATGCGCGAACTATCGTATGTGTATATTCTGGCAATCTAAAGATACATGAAATATCTATCATGAAAGCAATCTATATGTATTTACATGAAACAAATATTCATGTATAAATAAGCAACAAAAATAATTTCATAAAATAATATTTAAATGAAATTTTATATAATTCAGATACATTTAAAAATTTTTGAAATTAAAAAATGTGATTTACCTGTGTTTTTTCTGGAAGAGTTGCAGTAACAAGAGGTAAATTTTTCGCTGGAGCTGTTACAGTTAAAGGTGGGAACCAAGGTGCTCCTGTGTATAAAGCTAGTACTGTTGGCAAATCTGATTTTACACCTTCAATATTATTATATTCGCTTCGTGCACCTAAAATTGAATGTAACTGTTCCAAATGAGGTATAAGATTTCCTAATATGAGCTGAAAATGAAAATTGAAATAATTAAAATGTGAATGTTGATTAAACGTTGATTAATTAAACAAATAGATACCAAAGATCTTTGAACACTTTTCTTCACATTAGTATGAATGAAAGGATTAAAAACATCATAATCGAACGGATCGATTTTAGATAATATATTTTCACATGATTTGTTTGACAGATCAATTAAAATTTTATTTTCACGAGGTATCATAAGCAGACTAGAATATTTTATATCAAATAATACTTGAAAGGCTTGTTTTTGAGAAAGATTTGCATCATTGAATACAATTACATGATTTAATAATTCCGTTACAATATCTTCTATAATTTCATGTAATACTTTTCTATAATAAAAAATTAAAATTTAATTTATGATATTATTGATATTATTGATATGATATTATATGAATTAAATAATAATTTGAAACTTACTTTGGAAGTGTGTGTGGTATTATTTTATTTAAATCTTTATTAATAGCAGTCAAAAATTTCTGCAAGTGAATGGATGGCTGATATGGTACTAAAATTTCCGATTTTATTCTCTTACCCTCTCCTGAATCTTCTTCAATGGTTATTTTTTCCCATTCTGATATAACCAAATGTATTGGATAACCATGTAATGATTCTTTCGATATGAACTTTTCTCTATGTTCACTTATTTTAACTTTATATGTTTTAGCCCAAACTGACCAAATAAAAGTACTTTCTTCTTTTAATTTATCACAAATTGTTTGCCATTTCATATTTGTTATAGTTAACCCAGACACTTTTGAAAGTGTGAAACATTTATTCAGATTTGAACTCAATGTTATCAATGCTAAAAGAAATCTTGCCATTACAATAGCATTTACATCACGTTGACCATAGTCAGGTTTATCATTTACACATGTAGTTTTTGCAAAATTGATAAAATCTTCGATCATATTGGTACTAATTGTTTGTAAATATTCTTGGATCTCCGCACGATCAAAAAACGAATCTGAAATTAACGATATATTTGTGGATAGTAGATTGTCTTTAATAGACATTACATGTTCTGTCTCATACAAATATTGCTCAAGATCTGCGAGTAAAACGTGCAAACTTGTATCAAAATTTTCACATAATTTAAGAATATTTGGCGAATATCCTTTGGTTTTCATCAATAAAGATCTTTTACTATCTAGGCCACCATTTTTAGTAAGTTTCTGAGGAATATCATTTGGCGAATCTTTCCAGATAAACCATCGCAAATCATGTTCTGGATATTCAAATTTATCGTAACATATTTTGCCTAAGAGTTCAATTACATCAGATTTTAACGTAGTGATAGTTTCCATCCATTTATCATTTATAATACCTGATATAATTAAAAATATTAACAATATTATTATTTTCAATTTAATAACAAAAAATATATATATCATATTTATGTACGTTTTACTCTTTGAGATATTAAAGGTTGGAAAAATTCCACCCAGAAAGTTATTCTTGGAAGAGAAAGTTCTTCCCATATTTTATTCCAATTTTCTGGCAGATTGATATTAACAGCTTCTTCGCGAACATAATATAAACCTCTTATAGATATTATTAAATCTAAAAGTTTTGTAATTTCATAATTGCAAAATTCAGCTACCCAATCAAGCCAAGATTTAATCCTCTTTTGCAGATCTAATATACAAAAATTTTCAGAATTATGTACAGTAAATGGTTTATGCTGTTTGGTCACAATAGGAAGAAATTCTTGTAATAATTCTTGATTCAAATCTAACTGAGAAAGTAAAGAATATGCTTCTTGATCTTGAATTTTTATTAAATATTGTAAAACAAGACCTCCTGATTTACCCTCTGAATCTGTAATTTTTTAATCAATATTTAATTATATGTATATATATATATATATTTAAAATGATAATAAGAATAAAATACATTATATATGTTATAATTACTTATAAAACAAGAATAGATTAAATTGATTGTTTGAATTAATATTTTAATACATAATTTTATTTTTGTTTTAACACTATTATCATTTTCATCTGTAACAATAGATTTAATAGCCTGATTACGCATTGATATTAATTTATCCAATAATTCTGAGAATGAAGTTCCATTTAATAATACAAATGCTGCTAAACAATTTGCTATGCTCTAAAATTTAAATAAAATATAAATTTTAATAACATCATTATAAAATTATAAATAATATACAAAATTTTATAATATAATATAAAATAAATACCAACCCCTGGTTGCACATCTAATGATTGTAATACATTGTTACATTTATTTAATATAATATTTTTAAATTGGCTAATAACATCCCATTGTTTAGACACAATTGGATATTTAATTGATAAATCTGTACTTCCCACTTCGAATAATAAACTGTAATTTATATGTTGAGCTATTAAATATAATTGTGTAGCAAATAATAAATCCTTGTTTTCAATACTAGACCAAATATATTGAGGTACATCTATCAAGATTTTTATTTGAATAATAATTGAATCTTGACTTGCTTCTACATTTCTATAAAAAAATGTTATATAATAGTACAAAAAATTAGAAAATTATGTACTTCATTTAATGAAATTATTAAAAATACTTTTCATCTTCATTTTGAGTTGAATCAATTTTAAATCCAATAAGATATTTTTTTTGTAATTCCCCAAATTTGTTTTCAATATCAATGATTCTTGAAATTACTTGTTCAGAAGTTATTTTCATTTTTCTAATTGTGTCTGCAGCCAATATTAGATCACGATATCTTTCCCTAAAAATATGTAAATAATTAATAAGTATATTTGAAGATTAAATTATTAACCTTTGGTAGCAATCATATATATGAAACTTTATTACTTAATAACAATTTATTAATATTTAAGAGATATATAAATATTAATTTATACAGAAAATAAAAGAGAGTAACAACCAATTACTTTAAGTCATTAAAATAGAACTTTACCCAACTAAAGTTCTAAGTTCGATTTTCTTTCTATCACTTTCATGTTGGATTTTCTTTTGAATTGCCTCGATCTCCTTTATTGTATACTCCTCAAATAATTTATTAATGTCCAAATCCAAGTAATTTGTTGTTGTCATTTTTGTGACAATTTGTTTTCACGTATCTTGAACTCGGCTATTTCCACGTAGCAAGAAATAACTCGTATTTACTTCGCATTTTTATCTACAATATTCTACAATATATTGTCAATTATCAATTAGTTGTAAGAGGGCAGTATATGTATTTTCCTTCTTTTCTCAAATGATAAGTTATTTTTGATATTTCTTTTTTTTTTTTTTTCTTTAATCTTATATCGTATATTAAATTTAATTACTAAGATAAGTTCTGTATGTATTTCATTCCATCATATAAACAAGTATATATATTAAATCATGTACGATAACGCGTCTCAAAGAAATAAATTTATTTACACATCAAAATGAATATTTAAACATATAAATTAGATTATATAGATAAATAAATATAAAATAATATAGATTTATTTTTGTATTTAGATTCCTTGTAATGTATTTGAAACCATTTTTTTTAAATTTCAACAAAATATTTATTTTCATTGATATTTTTAAGAAAAGATCATGGATGATAGTCGATGCACAAGCTTGCAAACACGCAATCGCCAAAGCACGTCACCTTACGATACAATGTTGAACCACGGGATGAGCACGCGAGACGCCATATTGAGCGAATGTTGATTGAATGCAGTTTAGGTGTTTACGCGGTTTGAAATAAAACCCGTGAAAAAACGTATCAATTGTCGTATAACTCGACTGAAATATTAATAAGCGATTAGTTCAGTGTGACAATTATATTACACGGTAATAAAATGAGCGGTAGCGACGGCGAGGATGGTCAATGCAACAGGACGAGAGAAAGCAACGTAGTAGCGATGGATGACGTTCTTGTTAAGAAACACACTGACGATATTCTTCATGATGGATGCATTAGCTCTGAGGACGATTTCACGCGACAGGAAAGTGACTGGGCTGTTAATTACATGGAAGATGCTGTCAGATCTCCTGTCGTCGCGGACTCGGTTCCTGTCGCGGTATGTTTTCCTCTAGTGAACACCGTTTCATGTTCACATCGCACCAACGATCGTCAACCACGAACACGTTCTACTTGCAGAGCGTGGCACTTGACGAAAGCGTGGTCGATGAATTTGTCAAGGGCGCGAGAGGTCCCGACAACATGGAACTGAACACGATGCAAATGAGGCCGAAGACGATTATTGAAAATTCGAATACTACTGTGAGCCTTGAAAACCCCTTCAGGGGTAAGGAAATGTGTTCGTGTAATGTATGCAAAGCAAAAAGGTAATTGTTATAAATAAAAAGAAATAATCTAACTAGTGGATAAATTTAATCATTATTCTCAATATAGAGAATTGCTTGGAGAAGAATTGCAAAAGGCTATAAAGTTTCAAAATCTATGGACAGAATTGCGTCAACATATTCGAGGTTCCTTTAATATTGCCTTAGAAGCTTCTCGTATTCCGGGAGGTTTACAATTTCATCAAACTCCATTTTCAGCTGATGATACGCACAAGATTGTTTTGCAGTAAGTTTAAGAGAGATTTTTCTAATAATTAATTAATGAATTGACATTTATGAATCTAACTTCAATATTTATTTTCAGATTGTGTAAAAGGAATCCTCATCAATTATTTATGAGATTAGTAAGCTTGGCGCAAGAATTTGTTATAGAAGTAAAAGTTCATTTATTAGCTCTTTTACATGACCTTAATGTAAATAATTTAGCAGAAGTTTTTCTTACAGGTTAATATAAATATATTATATTTTAAATTAAATAATTTATTTTTATTATTATTATTAGTTTACACATCTTCTTTCTAGGTCTTTTAGATGATTATGATGCATTGATAACAACAGCTGTAAAGATTTCTAAGTTTGTAAAACTTTTAAAAGATCATTTGGGTAAATTCTATTATAAATTTCCTTTACCATGGACTGCTTTTATTAAAAAATTATATCAGATTTATATATATGATGATCCCTTTATACAAGATAATTTACCACCTTTTATTGGTCAGGTAAATAAACTTATATTATTTTAATATTTTAATTAAATTACAATATCTAATATAGACAACAAAGTACATATCTTAGGTTTTACAGTTAAGAAAACTTTTGCCTTTAAAAGGCTCGGAATATCAACGTCTTGTTCATCGATATTTATGGTTTGACAAAGAAATGACAGTAATTAGAGATCTTTGGGCAGAAACTGAATCATGGATGGACAAGTACAAGTAAGTGACAATGTGATTATATTTTAACAATAATACAACTATATCAACTGATCACAATCCCAGGAAAGAAAATCTATGAACAAAGTTTCATAAGCGGTGCGTATTTCAGTGCAGAACAAGCATGTCGAATGACCCATCTTAGACAAGTAAGGGAAATATTCACAGCAACTAGCAAACTTCTGGAACCGCGTATGTTAAATAAAACGCCTGACATTGGAAAGTATGTCCATATAAAAATAAAATATAGTTCATATATTTTCATGAATCACTGATTTCATATTTATTCTTATTACAGTGAATTTCAAGAAACAGATGGACAACTTTTGACGCTTACATCACAAGCAAAAGTTGATGTATCAGAAATGGATAATAGGTCTCTAAGTCCTACTCCAGATTTAAGTTTGGATTCACCTGATATGCCTCCAAGTATTGAGATACTACAAATTTTATTAGATGATTGGAGTAAAGTTGTAAAATCCCTACGACAAAAATTATCCGATGTAGCAGGTGCACAACCTGTTACAGATATTTACACTAATGGACAGGAAGATTTTTTTGATTATGCTTGTGCAACTTGCCATTTAGTACAGTCTGCAATGAGATCAGTCAAGTACTGTTATTATGTACATGAATTATAATCGTTATAATCATTTTTTCTTTCTTTTGTATTAATATATAAATGTTTTTCAAAAAGGGCCCAAATCGAAGGAACTTGTTTGGAAAATAACGTAGAAGAAGGAAAAAGTTGCGAGTGTCATATGTGTATAGGACCTACAATATCTTCTACTGTAAGAATTTTTTTATTTCAATTAATTTTATTAATATAATACTAAGTTTATTAAAATTTATTATATAACATTAATAATTAATTTACAGATTAATAAAAGTGATACTGAAAATATCATATTACCATTAGAAAATCCCTTTCCACAACTCACAAATGGTTTTTTAGGTAAAGATTGCTGTAACATACTAGTAAAATTTATATGTATTTTATTTTATTTATATTATATGTTTAATTTTTTGTTTAATTTTATTATAGAAGATACAGCTAATTTTTCGGCAACACAAGTAAAGAAAAAATTAGAAGATTTAGAAATAACAGAAATAAAAAATGATGGAAATGAAATAAATGTAAATGAAGATATTGATTTATGGACATCTGATACACAACCTTGTTCATGTGTATATCAGCATGTAAGAGAAATAACAGAAAGAAAAATGGTGCTAGAAAATCCACCTTGTTTGTGTTTATTAAACTCCAAGCGGAAAATATGGGATACTTGTCCCTGTCTAACAAAATGTAATTATAAAAAAAAAATTTTATTTCTTATTGTCAATAACAAAATTTTTGTTTTAATACAATATGATGATATTTGAAAATATTATTAGGCGTACCTGAAACGGTTGTATCAAATGGTCATTCAAAACCAGTATCGCCGTCTACTATCAAAACTAATCAGGAGCCACCTAAACCTGCAATAAAATCTGGTACTACACAGTCTGCTCAAACGCAAACGCGACATTCGACAACTCAGACACCAAATACCGCTCATAATCACACAACACATCAAGGTAAATATAAATAAACAATTATTAAATAATTTTGTAAATAATTTTTTAAAAAATATTTTTATCAAAATTCAAGAGAAAGATATAACAAAAAATATATCTTCTTTGAATTTAAATAGGTACCACTCATTCTCATACACATGGACCTCTTCCAGATTTGGTAAAAAATATGGGTCCCACTCATAGATCTCATACACATACCAATCATTCGTCGCATGTCTGTCATAAACAGGCTAATGTTGAGCATATTAAAAGAGTCTCGTGTAACGATTGTCAGTATTCATTGAACTATTTTTTTTTTTCATTTCATAATTATTTTTTTCTTTTCTTTTTTTTTTCTTTTTTGTTAAATAAAAATAGTGTGTGTATATATATATATATATTATATACATTTTTTAGTGAGTTCCGGAGATGGAGATTGTTCGGATTCCGGAAGTAGTCAGGAGGATTCTTGTTCTACCAGTAGTTCAGCACAAAGAGATTCTAGTAGACATTGCGATTGTTGTTATTGCGAAGTATTTGGCCATGGTGTTGTAAGCAGATTTTATCATTTTTATTTCGTACATGTACTAATATGTTATTATATATATATTATATAAATATATTTATTTAGCCTTCAGTAGCGCCCGTTAGTAGAAATTATAATGAAATGAGAGAACGTTTACGACAATTATTAACAAAGAAAAAGGCTAGAAAATGTAAAGTTACGTGTAGTCCTTCGAAAAGTCCTTCAGAATCAGTGGTATCTGATACAAGCACAGAAACAAAAACAGTAACAAATATCATGCCTAGATTAAATACTCCAGTTTCGACTGTTTCTGTAATTCAAACAGATCAACGAGATCAAAGAGATCTGGAGGAACTTTTAGAATTCATTGAAGGTAATCAAAATGGAAAAAAGGATAACAATAAAAAGGCTGAGAAAAAAGCTAGGCAGAAGCAACGGAAGGTTAATATAAGTTGAAATCAATATTTTATCTTCATTAACTATACAAAAAATTAATTTAAAATTTTATTTGTTATAGTTAGAAGAAAAGCTTAAAAGAGATAGGCAAGAGGCAGAAAGACAAAAACTATTAGAATTACAGAAAAAGACACCAGAAGTAACAATCACTGTTGTAGATCCACAAAAACCTGTTCCTCAAAGATTATTACCTCAGTGTAATCTACCTGAAGTATCTATTTTACCTACGTCACCTCCAGTAGCATTGCCGATTATAAAACAATTAAGTAATAAAAAGAAAGACAAACAAGAAATCTGTAGCAATAGTAGTAATACTAGTAGCAGTAGTTGTAGCAGCAGCAGTAGTAGTATTAGTACAAGTAGTATAAATATCAAAACAAAGACTGCACCTGTGAATATCAATATAAAAAACAAAAGTATTAATAAAACTGATAAAACAATGGTCTCAGGTCAGATAAATAATAAAATAGCCATTAAAAGTGACAAAACTGAAATTAGCAATAAAAATAAAATACAGATAAACAGTATCAATAGCACAAATATGAAAAATAATACTATGGAGAAATCATTAACTATTGATTTAAATGATAAAAAATTGACAAAGAAAGAGAGAAAAAAGTTGAAAAAAAGAATGAAGAAAATGGAAGAGGTAAAAGCAAAAGAAGAAACAAAGAAACCTGTTCAGACAGAAACTCAACCTCAGATTGTGACAATTAAAAGAGTTATGGAATCTAATAGTGCAGAACCAACAGTTACGATCACATTAAAAGGTCAAACACCAGCTGAAGATAAAGTTTTGTTTACATTGGTGAATGGTCAGACAAAAGAAGTCGCCAATTTGAAATTGGAGAACGAACAAAATCAAAACATCAGTGGAAAGAAAAAGAAAACTAAAACAAATAACAATAATAACAATTATACTAATAGCAATAGTAATAATTCATTACAACAGGGCAATAAGCAAATGAATAATTCGAAACAACAAATGCAGAATAAAATTTGTGACGGTAAGAATAATATGAAACAACAATCAAATAATGATAAAGGCAAAGGAAAACAATTAGATGATAAGAAAGTTCAACAGAATATCACGAAATCTAAAAAAGACAAAAGAAATACAGAAAATAAAGAAAATGTGTTACAACAAAACGTTGTAAATAAGAACAAAAATCAATCGCAAAATATATCTGGAAAAAAGCAGAATAAGATGAATACTCCACCTCAAACACCAACTTCACAAAAGTCATCGCAAAACTTGAATATCAATAATGAAAATAATAAGAAATCGAAAATTCAGTCGCAAGATAAAAATGGACAATTAACTTCCAATAAAAATAATAAAAATACATCTAATATCACTATTAAGCAGACAAAGAATGATACTCAAAAAATTCAAACTAAAATGACAAATCAGATAAGTATCAAACAACGATCGGAAGTACAGTCAGTATCCACTGAAAGAATTAATTCACCATTGAGCAGTCAATTCAAGGATATTGGTGTAAATTCTAAAATTAATATAGAAAATTTAAAATTACCACCTGGTATTACGATAACGAAAGTAGATGCTCCTGCAAAACCTTTACCAATCAGATCTGCACCTCTGCCTAAACCAGTAAATCCACCGAAACAAACCACAATAATCGCTGCACCAATGAGCGGTGTTCAATCGAGTTATGCAAGTTCTCAGGCAGGTGGCAATGTGATTGTAGTAGATACAGGAAAATTGAAACAAGATCTTTTACCTAAATCCATAGAAAAAGGTGAGTAAAATATTCTATATTTTAATATATATATATATATATATATATATATATATATATATTTATAACAATAACAATATATATATTTATAACAATAATATTTATAATAATAAATAATATAAATTTATTATTTCATTATTACAGACATGTCTAAAGAAACACAACAAAATCAGAACAGTACTAATAAAAAGAAAAAAAAGAAGAATAAAAATACTGTAAATTCCAGCAATATATCAAATCAAACAATAGTACAAAATAATGATCTTTTCATGAATGATCATGCAGATGAACCTGCTAGAATACTTCATAACCCAAATACTAATATGGTGACTATAAGAAATCCTGCATTTGGTCCAATGAAAGTGCCACCAACTCAACAGGCAGCCATTATAAAAGTATCGGAAAATGGTATGGTTACTATTAGGAGCCCTGCATTACAACAAGCAATTAATGCAGGTCTTACATCACCTCCAAAACCAGATTATATTGTGAAAGGCGATCTCCCGTCTAAAATGGCGACGGAGAATTCAAATTTGAAACATACTAATGGTATTATTCCGTCAAGTTTGGCAGAATTAAGAAGCAGATTGACTCCAGATTGCACAACTCTAAGTGGTCTAGCTAACATACAAATCAGTAAAGTAACAAATGGTCAACCAATACCAGAAAATGGAATTAATTTAAAAGGAACTAGTGTAACATTAACGAAAGTGAGAACGGAACCTAGTATGGAAGACGTACAAAGTGCAAAAACAGCAGTTCGAGAGGCAATAAACGCCACGATAGCAGCATCGTCTACTGGGAAGAGTAAGAAAAAGAAAAAACGCGGAGCCGGCACAAGACAATATGGCGATGACTGGAACCTCGTTGGTGAGAAACAACAATAATCAAAGTTTAACATGTAAATTTGCTTCTTTCATTTTTTTTGTTTTCCTTAACACACCCCCGGGTTGCATTCTTTGCTCCCGGTTTGAAAAAAAACTTTCTCTTCTTTCATTTTCTTTTTTCTTCTCTTGTTTCTTTTTTCTTTTTTTTTCTTCCTTTTGTTTAAAAAAGAGATAATAATTAGAGATAGTATCATGTACACAATCGATGTACAAAAAATATTTAAAAAAACTATGGACGTGTAAACGTGTAGGTTGAGTCCATGTAAGTCACACTGACGACGGTTTTTCTTTCGTTTCGTTTTCTGTCAGGAGAGGGCAGTGTACCGCGTTAGGACCAAGTCTCAATCGCAGGCTATAGGTCGAAAGAGAGAAAATTTAATCAAATGTACCGGGGATGTGTACACTTCGGGATCTCCTCGAATTGGCCACCACGAATTTCTAGGGGGATTGACCGGAAGAGAGAACTCTGGGATAGTGAGCACTATCTTTTCTTTATTTTCCTTCCGCTTGTTCGCGCGCATCGACTTCATATTTCAATTCGACCAATCAGGTGATTGTTCCATCGAATTATTATCCATAGTAATTGCATTTATCAAAAGATAAATTATTATTCGATTTTAGGATAGTTATAGTCTTTTTTCTCTCTATATTTCAGGAATATCTCGATTATATATATCTTTTATACTATATTCCCCTCTCTTTTTCCGTTTCCTTTTTAGTTATTCTCGAAAATTGAGTATGGTCGCAAGTACGCGGAATATTTGAATATTTGAGCATATTTTTTTAAAAAAAAACTATATGATAGATTAAACATAAATGGAAATTTTTGATTTATTATGTGCTTAAAAAAGAGAGAAAAATATAAAAAGAAAGATAAAGAAAAGATATGTAGATCACTTGAGAGAGTCACGCTTTGCCAAGTTCATTGACCATGACAGCGAGTTTATCTACTATCTACCTGAAATCTCAGATTGTGATGTTTAACCGATTCTAGGTGATCGACAACAACTAGAGTATATGAATAATTTTTTAATCAAGTTTGAATCACGTGTTTCAATAAAACAAATCTATTTTTTCCAACGTTATGATCTCTTATTTCCTGTTGTGTTTTGAAAACTGCTGTGTTATTAAAGAATGGAAAAAAACCGTTGCATGCTTATAGATCACGTGAAGCGTGAATTTTCTTTTATCATCGCCAATGAAAACACTTCGTTTTTAAATATTGACTTAAAGTACCCATTCTTATTTTTTCCTCACGAATTTAATCAAAATTTGTTTCCTGATTCCTTTTTTATGTCCTCTTACATTTCCATTGAAATTAATTTTTTTTTTTCGTTTTTTTTTTTTTTTTTTATTCTATAAATCACTCTTATTTCTCTTTACATAATATATATTTTATATTTTAAGTTAAAAAAGATAAGAATGAAATCAAAAAAACGTGAGAAAAAAGATAAAAATAATACAAAGAAGCAGTTAAATCAAACGCAGATTTTTTTCCCACCCCACCGTTAAACCTATCAATTTCTAGTATTCAGAGCGTGTCTTTTACAGAGAGCGTATTCACGCCTAAAGATATAGACCTCGAGGACGGGGAGATGGACGATGCGGAGCGCGAATTAGAGGCATTCAAGAGGTTTTGTCTGCAGTCGGTACCGCCGCCACGCAAGGAAAAGGTCAATCTCAACATCAAGGACATCGTGCTAAAGAAGAAGTCATCCTCATCATCGTCATCTTCAGCAGCTGCTGCTGTGATTGCCGCGAATTGATTTTTCTTTTGACTAACATTAGACGCTCCCTACCATTACTATTACCATCACCACTATTATTATCACTACTGCTGCTACTATATTCGCGCAAGCGCGTATATGTGTATTGGCTTGACGCAGAATTAATAGAATTAATAATTTCTAAATACGAGCACATGTTGATCAAAAAATTATTTCTTTACGAAAAAATCAATCTATTTATCATAGATCAGACAATAATATATTATACTGTATTGTCAAATTGTCTGGTGATTATTTTATGCGAAAGCGTACCACTTCCAACATCATTCTCCTTTGATGTTCACATTACTCCGTAGGCAAATCCGTAGCACGCAAGGTTAATTCTAGCTTGCAGACCGCACTGCGTGCGCATAATATGCGCGCGCAACACTATTCTAGAGTTGATTTTGAAATTGTGATTTTTATCATGAAGAATATTGCAAAATAGATATGTAGTCTGCGTGCATTTTAATTATGCACGAGTTAGAAAAAAATGTGCTCTTTCGTTATGCATATGAATTTAATCATTAAGAGAATTCTGCTACTTTTGCATCGAGCCAATTACTGACCGAATATGTATTGTAATACTGCCACGGCCGATACGCGTAAACACACGACCGACCGAAAACGCTCGTCGATTTTTCGGATCTCGGCGACGGAGTTGCGCCTAATTGTTATGAACGATCATCAAAAATGATGAAAAAATGCAATGGGATAAATAATATAAATGTACAAGAGCAGCCACCGCAGTACGATACTGACGATGTTGTAAAAGAGGAGTAATAATATTGTCGTCGTGTCGTCGTCGTGTCGGCACCTAGTCGACTTCATATTTTTAATATATTAATAGAGCGTGTTATGTTCGTGATTTTTCTCTTCGATACAAGGAAGAGATAAACAGCGAAAAATTGATACTATTAGATAAAATGTACGCGAAAGAGATGAGTGATGCGTGGCATTTTCCTCGAGACACAGCGAGAGCCGTAGATATAATATGTTATATAAATATAAAATGTATGTATGTATATGTATATCTATAAATATAGTAGGAACGAATTTTCCCGTCGAGGTCGATATTGTGGAAATATCTGCCCTCGACCGTAATTGCGAAAACGATCATGGTGGCACTGACATATAGTGTCTGGACGCGATACCTGCCCGAATCATGGTTCGATTAATAAAATCGTTCTCGCCATACGAGCAAAGAAGGATCGATAACGATGCGAAATATTTTTCGTCGTAATACCGACGATCGCATCGCGTCGCCACGATCGTGATCGCCGGCTTAGAAGCACACTTCTCGATCGATTATCTTACTAAGACACGACACCACAGTACACATGGAGACATCTTTTTTCTTCATTTTTTCTTTTTTTTTTTCTTTTTTTTTTTCAATAAAAGCAGATATGCATTTTTACCAAAGATCTTGCGTTTGTATCTTCTTCCTTATTATGGATTTATTTCCTGTGGTGCAATTTGACGATGATACATGTTTTTCGCACTTTGTAGTAAAAGTCGTATTTTTGTATGGACTTTAAGATAATCTCACTAGCGATAGGTGAGTTAAAAGAATTTTAATAAAAATCGAAGATATCAGGTTGAAAAATTGAAAAATGGTTTATTAGATAATTTGTTATATTGCATACTGTGTAGAAAATTGGTTTCAATATATTTTCAGAAACGGCATCTTTTTCTATTTTTTCTTTTTTTTTTACCAGCCATGATAAATGACCTTAAATCTACTTGATAACTTTCAATAATTTATAATATTTCAAAATATTATTTCTGATAAGAATTGAATTTTTTTTTTTTTACTTTAAAAAACTATCAATTTTAATAGAAAAAATAAAATAAATCAGTGCAAAAAATATTTATAAATTATAAAAAAACATTCAAACATATAACCAATTATAAATCTTTTCTTTTAAATAAGAATCATTTTAAATATTTATTTAATTACCGGTGTAACAACATGTAAGAAGCAAAGAAAATCAAAAAATGAATATATGTAATAAAAGATGCAAATTAACAACAGATCTGTATACAGATCTCGAGTTGTCACGATCATACGTATAATTTGTATGCACTGCGAAACAAATCTATCTGACATATTCTCGATGACCAGGCGCCAGATCGGCGCTGCGATTTCTCATGCGAACACTGTTGCAGTTAATCTCAAGTGCATGAATTATTCCACGAGAACAGACATCATTCCCATTCGATGAATCGAATCGAAGCGAAACCAGTCGAGGCGACACTGTGTATCGAACTTCCGGTTTTGCGGAAAATGCAACTCTCGTAGTAGTATTGCGTAATTACGAATGAGGTCGCTGCTCTCGTAATATTATTGTATCGTATTTTGAAATCATCTTGAATTCATTATTTCGTAAATCTTTTGACATTTAAAACACAATTTCGTAAAAACATTACTCGTAACTAAATTCAATTATCTCTATAGTAAGTAATAAATAGTGAGTAATAATAATTTGAATTTAATTATCGAATTTAATTATTGAAAAATGAATAACATCATTTTTTAAAAATAATTATAAAATAATACCAAAAATTGATTAATTTAATTATAATTAAGGAATTAATTTAAAATTAAAATTCGACAAAATTCAAATTCAAATCATCAAATTTTATAAATAATTTGAAGAAACAAGATTCTTTAACGGAAACTGTACTTAATAATAACTAAGCGCCGGAAAAAAGATCAACGATGCAAGGAATATTAGACATTGGCATGCATTTTAGCGTTATATTCGTATATGCAATTTGCACCTACGCGCGTTACACATGAGTATGAATTTACAAGAGTCAAAAGGTACATTAAGTCACTGACCTTTAGAGATTTAATTAAAATATAGATTTATGGATAATATTGTTCAAATATTTTGAAAAATATTTCATTATTTAAAAATATTTAAACTTAATTAAAATAAGAAATATTTAAAATTAATTATAAATTATTCATCAGAATCTTAATATAATATCTTAAAAATTAAAAAATTGAATCCAAAAATCTTGAAAAGTTAAGATTTTTCAATTTTGTCATCTGATGATTAGTTCTACTTGTTGGCCACTAGATGGTATTTCAATGTCTATAAATTATTCTATCTTCAGAAGTTATTTGTAATTATTAAATGACAAAAAATATTTCAATAAATTAAATATAAATTATTCATTACAGTTTATAAATTATTCATTAAATTTAATTTGAAACTTAATTGAAACTTAATTTGTCATAAGGTTGCCATTTAATGATCATTCATTGCAAAATAGTATTTCGATGTTTATTACTTGTAACAAATCAAATTTGTAACTAACTATATTTTACATTAATTAATGAGATTACTTTTTATTATTTTCCTTTTTAGGTAAAATTTATTTAATAATTAATATCGAATTAATATATTAAATATATATTTGAAAAATTCAAGATTTGTATTAATTATACTTTTTCAAATCAATTTTTTTTAAATTAATTTTTCTGCTAAAAATAAAATCTTAATTTAATTTTAATTTACTAAATTCTTTTCAACAATATATAGTTTATACCAATATTAAAAATTATTTCATTCTTCAATATATTGGAATAATATTTGTTTTAAAAACTATATATAATTAACAATTGCTCATTGTGAAATTAAAATTCCGTTGGAAAAGACAGCAACTAATTATGAAAAGAAGAAGCAACGAAGAATATTAGAAAGAAAGAGAGAAATAAAGAGCGACGTGACATGCAGCTTTACTATTTCAAGCGAGATCAAACGAGCGAGTTTTGTGTGCCCATCGGCATTTCTGTCGTACCGACAAAGAAAAAGAAGCTTATTATTCTCGGAATGATGAACCGTTGCACTTAACGTCGACTCTATCCCTTCTTTGTGAAACTCTTCATTATGAAAAATAACAACATTCGTTGATTCTCTTCTTAAAGAAATTTCTCTATTTATTTATAAGTTTTATTTATATATTATATATTATATATAATATTATTTATATATTTAAAACTACATATATATTTAAAACCCGAAAATATCGGTATAAAAAAAAAATAGCTCAATTTAATGATCGACACGAACTTTCTAATAACTTCTAGTGTTCATCAGATGATAAGAATAAACTTAGACTAACATTTCTTTGATTCAAAATTCATAACGAAATTATAATTAGTTACCTGGTAGCAACTGGATTTGAACCGATGCACTTCGCTGCACACTGTAATGCACTATTGCGGAAGAACAATTAACGAGTTCATTTAACCTGAATGCGTTGTTCCGCGGCTTTATTAACCAGTTTTCCGCGAGGACTTCAGGAATTTCTGTTTTCTGAATTACCCGAAGTAAAACTCGCACATATATCGTCTTTTTTTTCCTTCCCATCATTCCTCGATTTCTTCGTTTGAGTCGCGAGCGAGACGAAACTGTTTTATGACCATCGGCAATTTATTTCACGTGATTTCAGTGCAATCGCAGGAATGTGGATAATGCATGAAATAAAGATCAATTTCTTATGAAAAGAATTAAAAATTTTTTTAAAAATATTTATAAATATCTATAAATATAATTTTTCTAGCTAAAATAATTAATACATAGATTAAAAAATTTTTTGAAATTTTAGTAAAAATTCCTTCAAATATTCTTTAGAAATCTTTTCGAAAAAAAATTCTGCGTAGAACGTTAATAATTACTTCGTTAGATACAAAAATTTCCTAAAAATTTATATCGATAATTTCTCTTAAAAAGAAAACATTAAGTAATTACCGATGAAGATTTAAAAATTTAATGCAAAAACGGCTTGTGTTTTATCTTCTTTTATCTTCGTCAACATTCCCATGCTTTTTCTTGTAACTTACCAGCGTGACAAAACGATAGTTTTGTCGATCACTGATTATCTATTCTTCGTAGATAAACGCGATCACAAATCTATGAGCGGCGCCGTATAAGCGCAAAACGATTGCCATCTGCACAAAGAGAGAAAAAAAGAAAGTATCAAGGGACGCGAGAACATACAACTTAGCTTCCTGCTAAGTATATATATACTTGACTGCTACTTGGAACATAATAAATGCTCCAAGTATTGTCAATGGAATCGAACGAATGTTATTACTGGGAATCGAAATATTTTTTTCTATTGCAGTACATGAAGAAACTTTCAAAGGAATAGAAAATTCTACAAACAGATTCATGAAGATAAAGTAAGTAGAATACTTTGATTTCCACATTTGAGAATAACAAAGTTAGATTGTCATCATGTTTTTATGTTATCAAGTTATTTTTAGAAGAAAATTTTATGGAATTTTAATTATGAATTATAAATAATGAATAATTTAAAATTTCGAATAAAATATATTTGATAAAAATCAGAAACAACTTGAAACAAAAAATTCATAAAATTACATACATATTACATATATATACAAATTATATACATATATACATTATATATTACATAATATACATTATATATATACATTATATATATTATATTATATATACATAATTATATATATATAAATTATATACATATATCATCAATATTTCTAATCAGTTTCAATTAATATTATATTGAAACTTGTAAATCATTATATTAATTTTTACATCAAAATATATGTATTTTTTTACTTGTTTTCGATATATTTTATTAATTATAAATAAAATTTATTTTATTTGCTAAATAATTGAATCGAATACTAAAAAGTCAATACTTAATCTAAAATTTTGCCTCCAACAAACTGCAGAAATTTTATTAAACAATTTTTTATAATGACATAAAAATATTTTCTATTACTTAAAATCAATATAAAAATAGCGCGTGGGAATTTCGCGGGAATTCTGAACAGAGTTGAAAAACAAACTAGCACCACTTTCGAAACGATCGATTCGATTCATTTCATCGATTCTCACACTAGATCTTTTTATAAGTAGATACAGTTTCAAAGAATCTGGTGAAACGTGACGAGGGAAAACTCGTGTGAAAGTCAGGAGAAAATCATGAATCAAAATGCACGAGAAGTCCCTAATTGATGTTAGGTAGAGAGCAAGAGAGAGAAAGAGAGGAATAGATAGAGATGAAATAAGAAAATGCGAAAAGAAACATGCTAACAGTCATAACTTGAGTCCAGCATAATCTGGACAGCAGCTTGCTTGATGCGCTTCCTTCATAGCATTTCTATTTACGACTTCCTTCCTAGATTCATTATGGATAAATAGAAAATTCTTAATCACACGTGCGATTTTCTTGTTATGTTCTGAGTTATGTTTTTAGGATGTTGTTATTCATTGTGAGTACTACATATGTTAAGACGTTGCTATGCATATGTAAGTACATACATATGTTGAAGTTTTAGTGTTTATTTTACGAATGATAGAAATAATTGTTATAAAAATATTTTTATGAAATAACATTTTTATATCACAATAATTCACAAAAAAAGAAATTATATATATATTTTTGTAAAAAAAAGTATTTATAATAAATATAATTATTGTTATTATTATTATGAATTATTGATTATATATATATATATATATATATATATATATCTTCTTATCGAATTTTAATTAATTATAATTATTTCTTAATTATAATTATTTTTAATTTTTTTTTATTTATATATATTATATATATATTATAATCTTTCATCATGCACAATTCTATCTAAAAATCATTAAAAATTCTTA